GATATATCATGTACAGGTACAAACACCCAATGATAAATGTAAATGAATTGTATACCTAAAATGTACCAATAAAATTAATTTTAAAAAAATTACAGAGTGAGACCTATCTGGTAAAAAATAGTGCAACTGATTTGACTAGACTTCTGCGAGAGTGGCAGTTCTCCTTTCCTATTCATATCTTGGATACTTTTTGTTTTAAATAGGACTCCCTTCACTGAATCTTTTGTCCTCTATATCTTCATGTGTTTTTGTTTTGCATTCTGTTGTATTGGTCTATTTTTCTGGGGGTTTTTGAGGTAGGGTCTCAGACCTGAATCAGCCTTTTGAGAAGCTGGAATTACAGGTGTGCACCACCTTGCCCAGCTATTTTTCTGTTCTTGTGCCAGTATCCCACAGCTTTGTTGTTTTCTTTTAAGTTTGTAAATCTTTATTTGTAAACTTTACGTGATGGAAAAATATGGAACGCTTCACAAATTTGCCTGTCATCCTTGTGCAGGGGCCATGGTAATCTTCTCTGTATCGTTCTAATTTTAGTATATGTGGTGCTGAAGTGAGCACTATTGTTTTCTTAACTGTGGCTTTGTAGTATATCTATTTACTTGACTTTTAATTTTGAAATAATTTTAGATTTAGCAGAAAAATAGCAAAAGCTGGTATGGTAATAATGGTTATATGCCAATTCTCACATCTTAAAACTTTTTCTTTCCTGGGCCAGGGATTTAGCTCAGTGGTTCTGCTGCCTGCCTCGCCAGGTGCAAGGTCCCGAGTTCCATCCCCGTACCAAAAAAAAAAATGTTAAGGAAAACTTTTTTTTCCTTAAAGATTTGGTCATGAGCTCCAGTATTGTTACATAGTGGTACAAGTTGCCAGGCATGGTGGTGCATGCCTGTAACCCTAGCACTCGGGAGGCTGAGGCAGGAGGATTAGGCAGGAAGATCACTGTGAGTTCGAGCCCAGCCTGGGCTACACAGTGAATTGAAGGCCACACTTAACTACAAGACCCTGTCTCGAAAAACAAACCAAACCAAAACGTAGTACAAGTTGTGTGTCCCTTACTTGAAATTCTTGGGACCAGAAGTATTTGTGATTTCAAGACTTTTTTTTTGGTACCAGTAGTTGAAGTCAGGGCCTTGCACTTGCCAGGCAGGTGCTGTGCTGCTGAACTGCATTCCTGGCCCAATATTTGTGATTTCCGAGTTTTTTGTATCTTGGAATATTTACTTCGACCTTACCTGTTGAAAGCGCTCCTAATCCAAAAATCCTAAATCCAGAAAGGTCTTAAATCAAACTTTTTGAGTGTCCCATTTCATTTTGTTTTGCTTACTTTTTTAAGGAGCACCAAGAGTAAGATTTGTTAAAAGCAAAAGGAACAAAAGTACGTACCACAAGGGAACAGGCCAGTGAGAAGAGCTCCGGAAGTGTCCATTTTAGATTCAGTGTTTGGATTAAGGATGTTCAACCTATCCTTATCTTTTTTCTTAAAAGAAATGATTCTAAAGTTTCTTCTTTTTTTTTTTTTTGGTACTGTAGATCGAACTCGGGACCTTGCGCTTGTGAGGCAGGAGGCTAAATCCCTGGCTAAAGTTTCTCTATTTAATGTAATATTTGCTGAGGGATTCTTTTGCCCTATGATTTTTTTTTTTGGTACTGGGGATCGAACTCGGGTCCTTGTGCTTGCGAGGCAGGCGGCGGAACCACTGAGCTAAATCCCCAGCCCTGGCCTATGATTTTTATCAAGGAAACTTGGGCCGGGGATTTAGCTCAGTGGTTTCACCGCCTGCTGCGCAAGCGCAAGGACCCGAGTTAGATCCCCGTACCAAAAATATATATACCAAGCTCATAATAATAAGGACCTTAAGATATCCAAGGAAATGTAAATCCTGCAAAGTGAGCTCTCACACCATATTAGAGTGAAACCAGAGACCAACAAGAGAAACATACTTAGAATTACTTTTTTCTTTCTCTTTTCTCCCCATTACTATTACATTTTTCATATAAGGAAATCATAAGTGGTGCAGGCTTGTGTGTCTGATTTACTTCACTTAGCATCATGGTCTGAAACTGCAAAGGAAATTCTAATTTTCCATTCTAATCCTACTTGGCTATAGGGCCCCCCCCCCCCCCGCCACCGCACCGGAGATTGAACTCAGGACCTTGTGCTTTTGACGAAAGCAGCAGAACCACTGAGTTAAATCCTCAGCCCCATAGCTTTTTAAGATCATAAATTGTTCAGTGTTAAATCTTTTTTTCTGTAGTGAATAAAATAATTGCCAGTCTACTTTCTAATGTGAAATTTGACTTTGAATATCTCTGAAATACAAAATACTTGGAGAACTGACATTTATCATCCGGCTTTGGCTTTGTAGACTTTTTAAATTTGAAAAGCCTACCAATGTGTAGAGGGAGGTGGCTGGTTAGTTTAAGGATTAGAAAGGTTAGAAAGGATGAGTAAGTACACATCTCTTTTAGGAAGAGTTGAATCATATAAAGTTGTTGTAAGCCTGCCAGGCATGGTGGCACACGCCTGTAATCCCAGGACTTGGGAGGCTGAGGCAAGAGGATCACCATGAGTTTGAGGCCACCCTGGGCCACATAGTGAGTTCAAGGCCAGACTGAACTACATAGTGAGACTGTGTCAAAAAAACCACAGCCAACCAAACAAACAAAAAAACTTGGAAGCCTGCGTTCTCCTCGTGGATGGTATACTTAGGTGGCCTCTCAAATTTTAGGTTGGTTCTCTGCCTCATAGATACAAGGATGAAACAATTTTTGAGACCATATATATTAAGATAAAATTTCAAAATTTTTATAGATATGTACATGGAATATTTTAATTTGTGCCTTCTAATTATTTAGTGATTACATGAGCTCCATGGCTTTTCTAAATGTGGACAGTTTTAAAGAACTGATATGTATAGCAAAAAAGGGAGTGTATTACTTTTTCTTTCTTTTTTTTTTTTGGTACTGGGGATTGAACTTGGGTCCTTGTGCTTGCACAGCAGGCGGTGAAACCACTGAGCTAAATCTCCAGCCTGAGAGTGTATTACTGTTAGCAGTGTGGTGTAGAAAGAAACCGGGAATCTCTCCAGCTCCTCCATGGGTTTCCTCACTGAACAGTTATGTGGCCCCATCCTTCTCTGGTGAACGGCAAAGTTAGCATTCTGCTGTTCACAGGTTGTGGTGAGAATTGGAAGTGCAGTTGTACTGCAGTTGCTAGCATGTACAGAAGTTAAACAAGGAGTCCTGTTAATGCTGTTTTTTGTGACAGCCACATATTCATAATACAGATGATTCTGCTTGTTTTGTTTTGTTTTAAGATGATTCTTAACTTATGATGGGGTTATAGCCTAACAGATCCATGTGTACTAATCAGCTTCCCATTGCTGGGACAAAATACCTGGCATGCACAGCTTAAAGCAGAAGAGGTTTACTTTTTTGTTTGTGTTGTTTGTTTTTTGGTACCGGAGATCGACCTCAGGACCTTGTGCCTGTGAGGCAGGCGCAGTGCCACTGAGCTAAATCCCCGGCCCCCTATTTTGTAATGGTATTGAGCATCCCATGAAACTTACCAAAAATGCTGTCTAGTGTGCTATTTAGTCTCAACATGTTCTTGTACCCTGCTGCCTGTGGACAGGTTAGAACCTGAAGTGCAGTTTCTTTTGAATGTGTATCAATTTTGCACTGTCATAAATTGAAAAATCATGTCATAGACTAATTTCTTTCTGCAAACTCTTTTGAACTGCAACATTGGATCATTTTCTTCTAACATTTATTTTCCCCATAGATTTATATTTTGGTTAAATTCCTTTGAAATGCTAGAAACTTTAGGATTAAAGTTAAAGCAGTGATGTTTTGTTTCTTCACTTAGAAGCTAATGAAGCTTGGCAAGCAGTACATGTTCTCTTATTTCCTTGTCTTTGTGTATGTTACATTGTAGCACACCTCGCTTGGAGATGGGCGACAAGAAGTTACTTCCCGCTCCGGCCGCTCTGGAGCTCGGTGTAGAAACTCAATAGCTTCCTGTGCAGATGAACAGCCTCACATAGGAAACTACAGACTGTTGAAAACAATTGGCAAGGGGAACTTTGCAAAAGTGAAATTGGCGAGACACATCCTTACAGGCAGAGAGGTAAATATGAATTGTGCTTATTTCTGTTATGACATGTTGATTTCCATGTGGGAGAAAGAGGAAGAGGATATATATTTGGGATTATTTCTAAGCAGTTAAATTTATTTTTAAAGAACATGAAACATACTAATTGTTTGGGAGTCCTTTTGTGCTGTCATTATTCAAAAGTGAATACTTTTGTTGTTGTCTTTGCTGTACAGGGGATTGAATCCAGGCCCTTTATGTTGAGCAACATCCCTCAGTCCCTTTTTATTTTTTATTTTGAGACAAGTCTTGCTAAGTTGCCCTGGCTGGGCTGGACCTTGAGAGCCTCCTGCCTCAGCCTCCCAGGCTGTTAGGATCACAGGCATGTGCTACCATGACTGGCTCGCGCTCTCTCTCTCGCTCTCTCTCGCTCTCTCTCTCTCTCTCTCTCTCTCTCTCTCTCTCTCTATATATATATTTTTTTTTCCCTTTTTTGGTACTGGGGATCGAACTCGAGTCCTTGCACTTGTGCAGCAGGCAGCAAAACCACTGAGCTAAATCCCCGGCCCAATGACTGGCTATATTGAATGAATAATTTTTACCTTTAAAAATATGAATAGTGATGTCTTCTTTTTCAGTCGAAAGTATCTGCCACCATGATAAAAATTGTCTTGAATTTTGTTGACGCAGTTATATTTATGAGCTCATGGTACTTAGAAACCAGTACAGTTTTCTTTTCTTACAGGTTTGTTTCCTCATCTCTCTTGCAGTACTTCTGGGGTAGGTTATTAGGCAGGAAGGCACACTTTTCCAGCTTGGGCAGTGTTGGCTTCTGATTAACAGCAATCCTTATCAAAAATAAATCCATTAAAACTATGAAACAGGGCCAGGATGGAGCTCAGTGGTGCCACTGCCTGGCTCAAGGTCCTGAGTTCGATCCCCGGTACCACAAAAAACAAAACAGAACATGAAGCAAGCTCCGTCCTCACACTCTTGTGCAGTACCTTGTATCTCCCCCTAGAAATGCTTGGATTTAAATTTAAATTTAAAAATTCTCTCAATGTTTAAAAAACTTTAAGGAAAATCATTTACTCTTATTTCCCCCCCATTATAAGTATGACCCAGAATTACATAATACTTAGTTTCATTATATAGAAAGTAAAAGTTCTTGGAAATTTCTCTATTCAAAGGTAATGGCTTTTAGCCAGGTGTGATGGCACAGGCCTGTAATCCCGGCATTCAGGAGGCTGAGGCAGGAGTATTGCTGTGAGTTTGAGGCCAGCCTGGGCTACATAGTGAGTTCAAGGCCTACCTGAACTGCTGAGGGAGACCCTGTATCCAAAAGAAGAAAAAAGAGAAATAATTGCTTTCAGGATTTTAGTATCTGCACCCACAAACATTAAGTGTTTATTTTAACAAAATGGGAGGATTCAAAAGGGACATAATTGATATTTTTAATTAGTAATACCCCCTGGCCATGTGTGTGGATCTTGGCACTTGTGGTTATTGGCAACATGGTCTTGTGTATATAGGACCATAGAGAGGATCTGTTTCGTTTGTTTTTTTTCTGTTACAAGCAGATCCTCAACATTTTCCACCCACCCCTCCTGTACCAGGGATCGAACTCAGGACCTTGGACTTGCAAGGCAGGTGCAGCACCTCTGAGCTAAATCCCCATCCTATCAATAAACATTCTTTAACATAACTCTGAGTGCTCTTGTTAAGAGTGGTCTTGTAGGGTAAAGTCCTGCATCAAAGTGGATGAATATTTGACATTGTGATAGATGTTGCTGGATCACTTTTTTTGGTACTGGGGATCAAACTCGGGTCCTTGCGCTTGCGCAGCAGGCAGTGAAACCACTGAGCTAAATCCCCGGCCCATTGGATCACTTTTTGAAAAACATGGTACCTACTTTATTGTCCTTTGTTAACAGTTTTGACCCTGAACTGGGTCCTCTGGGAATTGTGGAACCAGTAAATACCAAGTGCCAGTTGAGCAACAAAAAGGCCTTTGAATCTCGGCCAGGAGTGGGTGAAGTAGGAAATAGACTTGGAGATCAATTTCTAGACCTGGTAATGATGGCGAGGTGCAAGAAAGGAGTGGTGAATGATAATGCATTCACATCTTTTCTGGGAATGGGTAGGGAATTCAGGATTTGGGGTGCTGTCTCTTTTCATTCCTCTTGTTCTTTCTGGTTGTCAATGGCAATTCTCAACTGTTGTGGCACTAGGAGGATGTCATTTAGCATGTAGATGTTATTATAATGAAGTTGAAGGTTGTCTGGGAATCATTCTTTTTTTGGTTTTTTGAGACAGGGTCTTGCTCTGTAGTTCAGGCTGGCCCTGAACTCACTATGTAGCTAGACTTGAATTCACTGCAATCCTCCTGCCTCATCCTCCATAGTGCTGGGATTACAGGTATAGTCCACCACACCCAGCTGTCTAGGAATCATTCTGAGAGCCATCTTGGATTCTACCAGCTAGCCTATCTGAAGAGGAACTTCTGGCTTCCAGTCATCCTGTCCCCAAAGATAAACAAGCACAGGGTTACAGCACCAGAGTGGATGGGTGTACGTTTTCCTACACCTGTACTGTTACGGTGTAGATAGCTTTTGTCTGGTTACCTTAGTCTCTTTTTGCTGTTACAATGGACTGCCGAGACTAGGTATTGATAAGGGAAAACTTTATTTCTGACAGTTCTAAAGGCCAGGAAATCTAAGATGTAGGCGCTGTCATCCTCCTTTCATAATAGACCATACCTGTGACAACAGTTTAATCCATTCACTTCACCCTTGGCCATTTACCCCTTAGAGGTATCTGCTTTACAATACTTTTATGATGGCGATTAAATTTCAACATGAATGTGGGAGGACAGACATTAAAACCATAGCATTGATGGACAGAAAATGGTATAAAAATCAAAACTTGCTTTTCTCTGGTAACTACTTAAGACTTATATTTTCATCAATTTTTAAAAAATGTTTTCTGTTCATATCTTTTATCCATTTTTTAAAAGTCTTAATGATTTGATCTTTTGTGTTTCGTTGTCTAATCTGTATGTTGTATAGGCCTTGAATGCCTTCCCTAGATTATTACTTGACACTATTCTTTTTTTTTTTCCTGATGTGAACCATTTATTTCTACACTTCAGAAAAACCTAATGTGGCCTTTCTGTTTCTCTTTTAGGTATACAATATAATGACATTCATCATTGGATATTTGCACCTTTACATAATCTCTCTTGAGTCTTATTTTCCCCCTTCCCCTGCCCTTCCTTCAACCCCTCCATCCCTCCCTATTTACAAGGACTTTGTTTCCATTTTTTCATATTCCATTCCCATTCTTTCCTTTCCCTTACCCCTTCCCCTTCGCCCCTTTTCTTCCTATTTCACATTATCTATTATACCTTTTAGTCCTTATTTATACTTTCAGTTTCTCACACTAGAGAAACTTCCGTATTTACACGTGTGTCCTGTTTTATTTCACATAAGAATATTGCCTTGATGTGCACCCATTTAGCTATAAATGTCTCTAATTTCTCATTTTTTATGGCTGAGTAATACTCCATTTTATTTTTTAAAAATCACATTTTCTTTATCCAGTCTCCAGTTGATGGGCATTTAGGCTGCTTCCAAGTTTTAGCCATTACAAATTGTGCTGCAATGAACATGGGTACACATATATCACTGTGGTATGATTCTTTTAATTATTTGGGGAAGATACCCACCAGGGGAATAGCTGGGTCAAATGGGACTTCCAGTCCTAGTTCTTTGAGATATCTCCATAATGATTTCCACAGTGGTTGGACCAGTCTACCCTCCGAGCAGCAGTGGAGCAGGGTTCCTTTTTCCTCATAGCCCCATCAGCATTTGTTATTGGTTGATTTCATGATAGCAGCCATTCTTTCTGG